GTTTTATTGATATTATTATAATTATTTATTATTATTAATCTTAAAATTATTATTAAAGATTGGCCTTAAAGATGTTTAACAAAGGTGAATTAGAAACATTTGTTTGTTCATTCAGCAGTGTATAATTACCATTATTACTTTTTAAAATCTCCGCGTACAGAAATTGCAATCCTGATAAATCCCATTTTGCTAAACATCTCTTGGACACTGGACACAACCTAGCTAGCGACCATTCCTTTGAAGTCTTACATACCTGTAATAAGGGGCTGCGACTGTGTGTACTGGAGCAGTTGGAGATTTTAAAAAGTAATAATGGTAATTATACACTGCTGAATGAACAAACAAATGTTTCTAATTCACCTTTGTTAAACATCTTTAAGGCCAATCTTTAATAATAATTTTAAGATTAATAATAATAAATAATTATAATAATATCAATAAAACAATAATAATAATAGTATTTAAAATATTAATCATAACAATAATAATAATTAGTAGCAGATTTGTTATCGCACGGCGCGGTCACTCAAAACAATAATAATAATAGTATTTAAAAATAATCATAACAATAATAATAACTGTTGGCAGGTTTGTTATCGCACGACGCGGTCACTCGCTACTTTGGTAGGGAGCGATTGTGTCAGCGTGTATAAATAGCAACTGTTTCGACTCGCCGCTCACTTAGCGGTCAGCCGCCGTAGAGTCTATATTACCTGAGAATGCCTCGTGTAGAGGCGAAACACGTGTCGTATTATCGTCGATGGTGTGTCTTGCCTGGAATAGTGGTGTTGAGAGTAGTGGTGCTTGGTCTAGTGGTGACGGAGTTAGTGTATGCAATTGAGGGAGGGCGGGAGGTGCGCTTCAATCCAGGTAAGACACATCATTTTATATGTTTAGCGGAAAGTTGCAAAGAAATTTTTATTTTTTATTATAATGGATTTCCGCAAAGTAACGCCTGATTCTATCAATTATCACACTGATTCACTTTATTCCGCTCCGAAGCTTCGCTTGTCTCGCCAAATTCAATACTTCCTCCATCGCACTTTGCAGCGCCTATAAATACACCTTAGCACCGAAAAATCCAGAACATTCAAGTAAATACGCGCGCCAATCGACTAAGCATCGAAAGTTCGAGTGTCGGGCTCCTAGAAGCTTAGTTCTTCGTTTCGACAACAGATGGCGCTGTCGGTTGAAAGATTAGTGATGTCATTTTCTGGAAAGCTCTCTTCTCGCTCTGTTACCCGACACTAGATGGCGCTAGTGCCAGATGTCAACTTAGCCGCGCAACAGCATCCACTCTTAACAAGCAAGTTGCCAACCGCAGTTTTATTATTTTCTTGATGTTTTTAGAAGACGCTGCTGCCCATCTCATGGTTAGTTCCTCTTTGTCGCCTTTTACGACACCTACGGGACGATATTGGGCAATAGATTAGTTTTACCATAAATTTCATTTATCTAAGCAGCAGCTGCCACCGCCTTATGTACTGTTTTTATTAGCTATGGGCATATTCATAGTTCGAAAAAGCATTAATACTGGCTCTACCGAGATTTCAGCTCAAGATCCGCGATGTGATTGTTAGGCACCTTGATTAAAACAATGAGATATTAAAGTTAAAAAGCTGAACTTTAGCCTACGGCCTTAAGTCCCACAGCTGGGCACAGGCCTCCTTACATTTCAGAGGATTTTAGGGCAAGGGCAAGTGTCCGCCGCACTGCTCTAATTCATGTTGGCGAACTTCACATGTCTATTATAATATTTTTTTCTTATTTCTCAGACATGCCGGTTTCTTCACGATGTTTTCCTTACCGTACGCACGTGGTAAATCAGCACTTAAATTGCAATTAACAATTTAATTGGTGCTGGCGGGAATCGAACCCTACTAAGTTTATATTACAATTACACTTTGAATAAAATTGCTTAGGAGTTAATATCAAATGATTGGTTCTACGGGATATTCGAAAAAGTCTTAATTATCGTAAGAACATACAAATGTGGATGAGTAAATGTTTTTTGCAAAAAGCAAACAATGGACAAGTAGGTTCTGATGTTGAGAATTACTTCCGACGGGATGAAGTATGAAAATACCAGATTGAATGTTATTTGGAAATTGAGTCAACGCAATACAGAATGTTAAAATTTGACATTGACTAAACATTTGGTTTTTTTTACCCAGGTATTGTGATTGCAAATATCGATTTATTTATTTAAAAAAGCACATTTCGCTTGGATTTTCTTCTGTATTATACAGTCATTTAAAATTGATAAATTGTACATCAGATTTTTTCAGATAATGGACAAGCCTCTAGACGCGGAAAAATCATGAAGTTTGTTCCGTGTGGATTCGAATCAGCAATCCAGCAATACCGTCACTAAATACTTAGCCAAAACGCTATATATCGTCAAACATTCAAATCAATTATCAAATCGAATAAGAGAAATATTCTCTATGACAGAAGTGGGTTATGTTTGTATCAAAAGTTATATTTTACTCCTGGAAAACAAAATAGAATATTATTCACCATCATTCCCGAAGCAGCAACAATCATCAACAATGAACGAAGCCCGTCGCTAACATTTTGACTGAGGTTACGTCAAAGAAGTTAAGTGTCAGCAAGATGGAATAATTCCCATCCAACTACAGAGGAGTATCGATATCCTTCTTCCCTATCTGGTTAGCAAGTTTTGCATGGGTATATATTCCAGAATGATGGACAATTGTCAAAGTTCTATTTATACCTAAGGCCGGTAGAAAGGACTATGCTTCCCTTCTTCTTAAGATATTGGAAAAGGTTATAGATAGATATATAAGGGATGTAACTCTAGCTACGAAGCCCATACATTACAACCAGTATGCTTACCGCAAAGGCAAATCTACGGAAACAGCTCCGATCAGTGTACTTGACAGGGAAAAGCACTGGAGGACAAAGAAATAGCTCTTTGTGCCTTTTTAGATATTGAGGGCGCCTTCGACAGTACTGATTGGGGGCCTGACATCTAAAAACGTTGACCCCACAACCATCAGATGGGTGAAGTCAATGCTCTCAAACAGAAAGGCAAAAATAGCTCTGTTTCAAGCTTCAATTGAGGTTGCAACTACAAGAGGCTGTCCATAAGGAGATGTTTGTCACCCCTAACTTTGGAATCTTGCAGTTGACCCACTATTGTACAAGATGGCAGATCTACGCATTGACACACTGGGTTATGCTGATGACCTTGTGATCATTGCGAGGGGCTTTTGCCAAAGTCGTAATCGTAAATTATACAAAGAGCCCTAAGCACCATAAATAACTGTTGTAGGGATAAGTTTATCAGTTAATACTGATAAAACTGTTATTTATTACATTACTCTTTAACAAAAAAAGACGGTTGAACAAATTAGTCACACCAAAACTCAATGGTATAGAAGTACCATTTTCCACTGAAGTTGGGCGTAACAATCGACCAAAAACTAACGTGGAACTCTCACCTCAGCAACATCTGCCATATGGCAAAAATTGCTTTATGTATGTGGTATGTGGCGCTTGCATTTCGGTATGGTCCTATGACTATACAGCAGCATAGTGAGCCGATTCTCACCTACGCCTCCACTGTCTGGTGTAACAAGGCCAACCAAAAGACGACTGTGGACAGACTAAATAGTCTATAAAGGACTGCCTGCTTAATGGCAACTGGAGCTATGCGATCATCGCCTGGAGCGGCTCTTAATGCAATTATATGCCTAACGGCTCTTGATCTTTATCTAGACAAGAAGGCGAAGGCTAATTTGTATAGGATTAACGCCCAGGGCGGTCTGAGCTTGCTCTCCTACAGATTGAGATCCATGCTCGACTCAATTAAGGAAATGCCGGTCTTATGCGTGATCTCAGATATCATGCGTCCACTATACAATTTTGATAAAAAGTATATAGTGGAACTACCCTCCAGAGAAAACTGGCTTAATGGCCAGGTTATCCGTGAGGTCGGTAGCCTCATATGGTATACCGATGGGTCTAAAATGGGCCTCGACCTTGGCTTTAGAATTTACGGGGAATGCCCCAAATTAAAACTTAGTATGAATTTGGGTAGATTCATCTCTATCTTCCAGGCAGAAATTTTCGCCATACTTCAGTGTGCGAAAATCAATCTGCAAAAACACTACGTCAACCTTATAATTTATATAAATTCTGATAGTCAAGCAGCACTGTTAGCACTGAGGTCAAACTTAGTGAACTCGGAGCTAGTTGGAGACTGCGTGAACCGTTTAAACGCACTGGGATGTAACAGGGTCGTCTTAAGATGGGTTCCGGGTCACGCGGGTATTATAGGCAATGAATTTGCCAACAAACTTGCACGGAAGGACTCAAAGAGTACATGATTTGGACCTGAGCCATTTTGTAGAATCTCAAAAATCCTAGCCCGATTAACCCTTGAAACTCTTTATTACAATAAATCACTTAAGATCTGGTCTGACACACCAGGCTTAAAACAATCTAAAACCTTATTCCGGGCTTTTGATCATAAATTCGCTGCAGAAGCCCTGGGATTAAGTAAAAATATATTGTGCATTCTGGCAAGAGCCCTAACTGGACATTGCTGTTTTAAAAAGCACACTTCCATTCTGGGACTAAGCAACTCAAGGATGTGTCGGTTCAGTTCCATAACGGAAGAAACCCCTCTGCACATCCTAAATGATTGCGGACCCTTAATGCACAAACGTAACACTCATCTGGGAAACTATGTACTCCACCATATGTATTAATATACGCCATATGTATAATGAACTATGGCCATAGCAGCGATCATAATAGATCTTTTAGGTCGCAGTGATACTGGTCTCTTTACCTAGACCTGCATAGCACATAATAAAAAATAAATAAATAGCCACTATGCTATATATCGTCAAACATTCAAATCAATTATCAAATAGAATAAGAGAAATATTCTCTATGTCAGAAATGGGTTATTTTAATATCAAATATTATGTTTATTCCTAGAAAATAGAATAGAATATTATTCTCACCATCATTCCCGAACCAGCAACAATCATCAACAACGAACGAAGCCCGTCGCTAACATTTTGACTGAGGTTACGTCCAACAAGTTGAGTGTCAGCTGATAGGCGGTTAACTAACTCTCCCGTGGACGTCCTGTTGAACCAAGCTGGCTCTTGCCGCATAATTGCTGTATACGCTTGTTTACGGAGTGCCTGGGTCATCCTTTGTCCTGTAATTACACTTTCAGTTATTAAGCGCCATAATTGGTAGGATTCACGTTCGCAATACCAGATGTCTCACACCTGTGGCACCACTTCCCATCACCAGTCTGGGAATTTAACTTCTGACGAAAACTAGTTGGTTATACCGCCATCTATCGGATGCCATGAGATACTCACGCACGCCATCCCACGGCTTTCTTTATAAGATATGGGTCACAAACGAGCACACAGTCCACCTGATGGTAAGTGGATGCTGTAGCCCTTAGGCCATACATGTACATTTAACCTCGATTAAGAATCAAAATGCAGATGCTTTGTCACCCTTGACGACTAAGATGGAATGTCTCGGTTCTAGTAAAAAAGGGTCTCTGGATCTTTACACTCACCATACGAAACACAGCAGCATTTATCTGCTAATTTACACAGGTATTCTGTGAGTGTGGTCATTCCCCAGTCGAGCCGATCCATTGATGCTACAACCATAATATAATTGCAGCATGGCTCTACCAGGTATAACACGGCTACATCAGTGTATTATAATATACACACAGGGTTGTAAATAATTTATATATTTCAATTTGTTTTCACTGAAAAGATTACTCACTAAAATATTTTTGGGAAACCTCATTGTTATGGTACAAAACAATTCATATTATTTAACCATTGCCGGCTTATAGGTTTCTGAAGTGGTCTGTCACTAATGTAAGTGCACTGAGAAGTGATACCATATAATGTGACCATTGAGATAACTAGAAAAAGTTATTACAATGTCCAAGTATTTCCAAATATCCTCCTTTTGGTCCTATATTTTTAATATTGTCTTCGTTAACTAGTAACCAGGAGAAAAAAAGCATGTAAAGACATTTGTCCTACACCTGATCTCTCTTCAGTTATGGTACCAACCCATCGGACTATGAGAGTAAGTGAATAGAGTGCACCCATGCTTGTGCATATACTTGGGCACTATGTTCTTGCCCTACACAGATGACTAGTCTCCGTTGAGACTAAAATTCGGTCTGGAGGACATTATCATTAATCAATACAAATAAAATCGTACTTTAAAAGGTTATACTTCATAAGTACTAAAGCAAATTACTAAATACATTCAGACACAAAACAAAATCCTATCCACTTGCCATCAGGTAAGATAGTAATCGCATATAGAGGTTGTAAAGGTGCAGTCATACATACATACCTATATAAATATGTACATGCAGATACAACTGCAAACATTACAATCCTTCTGGTGTAGTGAAATAAGAAAATCTCTGATACTGCATAAAAACATAGAAACGTGGATCACTAGGTCGAAAAAAAATGTAGAAACAAAAAGAGATACCAAATGTAAAATGAAAAATTAACAGGCATACTATTTAAATAAAGAAATAGCTTACCTGATATAGACATTAAGTACACTCTTCCAAAATTGCATAAACCACCTATAAGAAACACTCCACATAGCATCAAGCATAATGAATCCAACTGTTCTCGAGTGGCTCCCAAGTCATTTGTACTGCTATAAATTATGTCTAAAACTTTGCCCAATGAAAATGGTACTGCTATAGTCACACTTGATGAGATAATTAAAAACCCAATGGCACCTGAAATAATAAAATAATAATATATGCTACTTATAGAATATGCTAATGAGCAATAGGAGACATATTCTAATACAACAGTAACACAGAATTATTATCAAAAGTACCAAACACGGGGTTGTTTACAATTGACAGGCCACTCACAATCACAAGAATAGACCACAAAAAGCAGTGAATATTGCTTCTAAAAAAACACAAACTTTTTATTCAATTTAGATTATAAATACAACTTATTGAAAGTCACTCTTTTGAGATTGGCTATAGGCACCCAGTACTTGATTTTAAGTGTTTTTAGTGTAGGAGGCGTGTTAGGGTTAAGCTTGAACCTATTACATTGTCTTTAGATGTCGGAAATGCAGTTTGTATTAATTACAATAAAAATAAATTTCACTAAAAATTGCTTAAAACAAAACGCAAATAATATGTGAATTTGGTCTAGTATTATGAAATAGACGTTCCGTACTTGATTTTTTAATTTTGTTTTTGATTTGGGTTCGTCAGGGGTAAGCGGGCATTCAAGTATTACGTAACGCAATTTTTTAACATTTTTGACCCTCCCTCCCCTCATGTAATGCATCGTAACATTTTTCTGTACCCCCCCCCCCCACCCTTCAAAAGTCACAAAGTACCGAAAAATAGTTAAAATACCTTTGTTATTGTTTTAATCGCATTTACAGTAATAATATAAATGGTTCATATATTACATATGAGTACCCACCTATGTGATATTATTACACTTTAGCAGTAAGCTTAGCTGTGCAAATTAACTAATTACTGTTGCTTTCTTCTTTGTGGTCTTCACCCTGAACTCTCGTATAAAATCATTTATGTTCTATAAACTAGGTATTCTTTATTTTTTCTTCAGCTGTCTTCCAAATTTCGTAGGCTTTTGTGGCACAGTCATGCTGGCAAAACAGCATGAGAGTCTTTATAGGCCAAGAATAGCTGATAATGCAAATCTCCCTATTTTGGGGACATTACAGTACTAACTCGCTTTAACAACACTGACTAGAGCAATGTGCTTCTGCATAAACACTAATGAATACCAATAACGAATACAAAATAGAAATGACATACAATACAGTCGAGGGATTCCCTGTAAAACATAGACGAAAAGAGTTGCCAACTTGGGAGAAACAAATAAAAATAGTGTATAATGCAATCAAGGAATTCCTCATAAAACATAAGCGAAAAGGGTTGCCAACTTGGGATATTTTAATACCCTAGGTTTTTATTTAAATTAAAAAAAGCATGTTATGTAATGCATTGTTCAAAACCCCTTCCCACGCCTGTAACACATCGTAACATTTTACAAGACTCCCCTGAAATTGCGTTACGTAATACTTGAACAGCCCCTAAGCTTGAACCTTTTACACTGTTTTTGAACTTCGGAAAATCCTTTTGAATTAACCCCTAAGGTACCGTGGACATGTTGACAGGTCCAAGTTTTGTGACCGCTAAGTACAGAGGACATGTATACATGTCCGCATTACGTGCTACTATTTTCGTCATTAATTGATATAAAAATACAGTATATTTTCGATTGAACACTATTTCATTCGATTCTGAACGAACTAAAGAATATTCTGTAGCATTATATTCACTCGGTTACATAGACATCATCAAATATAACAGCCATTCGCTTTTGCGTGCCGGTACGGTGGGTTGCGTAATCGTTGAAGTTTTGTGATTGTGATTTTAGTTGGATTTTCTTTCAAAACAACTGTAAGTAATGTTATTTATCTTTACTACGTAATGTTTTTGAATGATCTAAGTTACAACAACAGTAACTTTTTATGTTTCAATTGATAAAAAAGTAGAAACAAAAAACCTCTACGCGAACAATTCATAACGGTCAAGATTTCTAATAAGATAATAATAGTATATTTCTTATTCGAATACCATAGTAAATACTTTTACTAGGAATTACTAAATGTTATATCTATATGATTGTATAAGAAAAATAAAGGAAGACGCTATAATATATACACAAAAAGGTTTTGAAAATGAGGTTACAAAGCGCGCGCATACTGTCTATTGTCGAATTTTTAGCAAATGTTTGCAAGTGAAAAAGTAGAATTATTATAATTATTACATGCATAATTATGATTCAGTACACTTTATAAAGATCCGTTAGAAAGAAAGAGCTGTACATAATAAAATAAACATTTAAATGTTATGGTTATAGTTTCTACTTATCGAAAATCTTATCGGCTTTAAATAACTGTAACTAAAACCTCTTCAAACATAATGAGAAACATAAATATTTAAAACAAGTGCCGCCAGCTGAGGTGATGACAGAGGCCGCCGTACAAAGCTGTTTTTTGTTATATTGCGGGCGCAGTAAGTGAAAGGTTAATTACAATAAAAAACAATTTTCACTCAAAGTTGCATCTAATGAAACACAAATAAGTAAAACCATAGACATCCATTACTTGCGTACGGGGGTGGGAGTGGATGGGCGGAGAGCTGGGTGCAGGAGAATTGTTGAAGTCAAGATATTTATTAGTTTTGTGTTTTCAACAAATTAACTATTTACGAAGTAGCTGTAGGTATAAGTCTGACAAACAGGAATGACAGAACAGTTAACTTTTTTAATAAGATAACCCGAGAATTAGGACGAATAGGTTATTGAATATTTACCGGTAAGAGTCCATTTTTCAGGCGCTGCTAAAGAAAATAAGCGTTTAAATTCAGAAGTTTTCGACTTTAAATCAATTTTTTTTGTAGCCTTCGAATGAATACTTTCTGATTGATTGTCGTTTGTTTGGGTATTCACCTGGCTGCTATAATATCTTGACCATATGAACTTTAATCTGCTACTACATATGAAAGTTCTTTCATAGTAATTTCGTAACGCTGAAACTTTGTGACTAGAATATAACCTGAATCCACAATGGTGTACTGACTGACTAAGAACAGGAATCCTAAACAGTAAATGATTATGTTTACTACATATTTTTAAATTTAAAGAGACATTAATTAGTCTTTGTATCATTTTTATGTAAAATTGTAAACTATAAAAAATAAAATAAACATCACATACGTCAGTTAGACCACAGATTATCACTAAAAAACCATAGAGCATAGACGTATATGAAAAATTTGGAATTTATGGCCTGGTGTCTAGACGTTTAGGCCAAGTCTTGAGTATTTTTATTCGGTTTATTATAATTTACCCACTGTATTTTTGATACCTTTATATAGAGGCACGTATAGGCAACGCCACGAGTCATGGAAATGCGCAGAACCGAAACCATAGCAACGGGCGACGCGCTACTCCCAAGAAGTTTCTTCCTGCGTCCCGTCGCCCGCGCATCTTCTTGTGTCGTATTGTGTACTATCGATATCGAAAGTGTTAGCGACTACCTGTTATAAAATTTTAAATTCTTGCGATTATTTTTGTACTTTTAAAAATATTGTTCTATAATATTTTCAAATAGTGTGCAAATATTTATTACTTTATAAATTATTTTGGGACTATTTAAAATAGCGTAGTTCGTAGTATATTGTATAAAGTTGTAAATATTTTGTTATTTTCTACAAGATGATTTTTTTTTGCAAATTATTGCATGTAAAATATCCTTATAATCGAAGGCTATCGCATAGTATAGTTTAAACAACAATTACAAATACAAAAATACAAATACAAAATATTTTATTTCTTTAACTAAGTGAACATAAAATACAGAATATTATTTAGAAGCAGTTAAAACCTAACGATGATATATTGTTCAGTTTTCGTGGAGACTTTGATGTGTAGTTATAATGTTAACCTTTGACTTTTTACATATTAAAATGCCATAATAAAATTTTCATTTTTCTGCTTGATTGTACATGCGCAGTGGACTCTATTTAATTTCATCTTACGTGGCACGATCTATAATAGGATCTATTTTTTAACATATCACTCAGGCGGCGGGAGGGATCTTGCACTGTCACTTGATTTTGCACTATGTCACTAATTTCACTGGCAAGAATCAATCTGTCAAATGAAAAGCACTCACTTATAAATATGAAATGTTCGATGTGTTCGATATCACCAAGAGAATTATTGCAGTAGGTGCTAGGTGCAGTAGCTGCTCTTCACTATGCCCAACCGAGCCAGGTGGGCCGGGACGGTGGAAATGGAGTGACCAAAACGCAGTCTGTTTATAGTCGTAATAAAGTCCCGACTAGTCATTTTCAGTTATACCATGGTTGTTACAGGCAGATTTTCTTGAACATTTCCATACCATGATTTCTTAAATTTACGCGAACACTACACTCTAGTATATAGTCAGTAATCTGTGCACTACACATTGAATAAAATTGTTAGTAGTAAGTGTCCCCCCCCCGTGACCATGGGTGCTGTAAAGCACCCGAAACGTCGGGAATTAAAAAGAATTAAATTCAGTTAAATAAACACGATAGAATCCGTAAATTTAGTTTTATTCAATTTCCATACCATTTACCATTCTGTTCTTGGTCTTGTTTCCAAAATTCGACCCATAAGCTAACAGTCGGTCAAAGGTACTTTTACTATGGAGTTAACATCCAACATGTTGGTTCCATCACGTGCAATTTTATCTACTATCTCATTCCCTGTTATGCCCCTATGTGATGGAATCCACATGAAAGAGACTTGTATACCCTTTTGTGCATAACTAAATAACAATTTTTTAATATTATACAAAATATAGTTTTTTTTAAAGTCAAATCTTAGATTGGTTAAACTTTGGACCATACTTAAAATGTCTGTTAAAATTAAAAAAAAAATATTAAAACTATATTTGCGATTCTCTTCAGGGCCTTGAGGGCCGCATATACATCTGTAGTGAAAACACTGCATTTAGGAACCAAAAGAAAACTTTGACCAATCTTGGATTGGGGATCATAAACAGCACTGCGCACAAAGAGCTCACTTTTGCTACCATCTGTATACAAAGTGTAGTAGTTATTATCGGAAAGAAAACTTAATAATTCACAGTTATTAAATTTTTTTTTAGTAACAATATTGGTCTCAAATATAATACAGGAATATGGGTAAGAGTAGCATGTCCACTTTGATTGTTTAATTACATTTTTAAAATCTTCATTCATTTGTAGTACAATGAGAGGCAAAACTGGGAAATAACCTCGTAAAAGCTCACCTCCCGAAGTCTGCTGGGCCGAGGATTGTACAGGAAAAGGTACTATTTTTTTGAGAACATTATCATTATCAGATAACAGCTTTAGTAAATATCTCTATATGAGCCGAAATCTTCTAAGAAACAATGGCATTATTTTGGTTTCAACTTCATTAGCTCGTATGGGAGTTGAACAAATAGCCCCAGTAATAATTGGCAGAGCTTTGTTTTGAATTATGTCTAGTTTTTTTACACAACTACTATTTGTGTAGGCTAAACAACTGTAGTCGAAGTAGCTTCTGATTATAGATTTATATAGCATACTGTTACGAGCTTGAGGTTCGTGACAATAAAAATTGCCGATAAAATTACCTAAATTAACACTTTAATTTACTTTACACAATTAAAGTTAAAACACTAATAATTTAAACACACTAATTCACTTAATTCCACTCCGAAGCTTCGCTTGTGTCGCCGAGTTCACTCTGCCTCGATCGCATCTTGCAGCGCCTATATATTTAAATTAGCAAAGAAATATCCAGAATGTTCAAGTAAACACGGGCAAAGTACCGAGCGTTCGAGTTTCGACTAGGCGCTGTCAGTTGAGTGATTTGTGATGTCATTTTCTCAATGCTCCCCTCGCTCTCGTTCCTGACACTAGATGGCGCTAGTGTATCGTTGACTGGAGCGCGTAACACTGCCCCCTCCTAAGACATGCTCGTCCCGAGCATTATCGGCCCCATAATAACGCGCCAAGCGATTCACATGGACGATCTTAGGAGTCCCTCTTGCGCCTTTCTGTAACGGCTCCGCAATGTCAAGGGCTGTCCTATCCCGTGGTGTACCAACATTGTACAATTTCGGTGCTCCTCTACTACGTGTCCGAGGTCCCCGCTCGGCCGCACAACTTGTACATGTACGACACCAATCCTCGACATCGTCACGTTAATGGACCCAGTAAAACTGTTCTCGGACCTTCAGTAGAGTTCGTTTAACTCCCAGATGGACTATTGAACGACCATTATGGCACAACTGTAGAACATTCGGCACTTTAGCTTTAGGGACAACCATTTGCAAACGACAGCTGTCTCTTCGACCATTGTCCCATTTACGGCACAGGACTCCATCCTGAAGCAGCAAGCTGTCCCATTGGGCCCAATAGCTTTTCGTGGTTGAACTCATCGCTGAGACGTCCCTCCACTTAGGCTTGGTAGCACGGGCCTTCATCCATCCCAGAATCGGCTTGATGTCCGGATCTTCCTGCTGTGCATGTCGTAGGTTGTCCTTCCACCCGTTGCTGAGGTGGTCTGTCCTGAGCATCCTCACGGATACCACCTCCTTACTCTCTTGCCTACTACAATGGTTGCAATCTTCAGGACAAGGTCTTTTTGACAATGCATCTGCGTTGCCGTGAGATTTCCCGCTGCAGTGTCTGATAGTAAAGTCGTATTCCTGCTGCTGCTGGGCGGTGCTGTTAGCCGCACTTCCTTTCTGAGACCGTTCACCTTCCCTTCCTAGGGTGTGCTTAGGGCAGCTGGACCGAAGATGGCCCCTTTCCCCACAGCCATAGCACCTAGGGCTGTATCTTTTATTGTGGTCGCGAACCGTAACTGCTGTAACCTCCCTAGCGTGAGGTTAACGATGATCCTGTCGCCGCCAGGCAGTGCCGTTAGCTGCACTACCCTCTCGAGATCGATCAACTCTCCTTTCCACGGTTCGTTTAGGGCAGCTGGATCGAAGATGGCCCTTTTCCCCACAGCCATAGCACCTTGGGCTGTATCCTTTGTTGCGGTCGCGAACTGTAGCTGCTGCAACCTCCCTGACGCGATGGGAATGATGATCCTGCCGCACGGCTTCCACTTCCAGTGCATGGGCCAAGGCGTCCTTAAGCGTCTCGTGGTGCCCGAGCCTCACAGCAGCTCTGACTTCCAGGTCGCGGATGCCGTCGATGAATGTCTGCACCAGGTTCCCTTCAAGGAGCGCAGGTACAGACCGGTATGCTTTTCGCACCAGCTTCTCCACTTCTAGAGCCCACTGCTGCAGGTTTTCGTTGATGCGCTGCACACGATCTTTAAGTTGCGCACGAAAGACGTGTTCCAGGTGAGCGTCGCCATATCTCGCCTCCAATGCCTCAAGGAGCTGCTCGTAGGTCACTTTCTTACCGAGAGCTTCCAACACAGTTAAGGCTTGGTCGCGCAGGCCTAAGGTGAGTGCAGTCATGGCCTGGCTTTTATTCCAGCCGTTTGCCTCCATGACGGCCTCGAACTGGATTTTGTAGGACGACCAGGAAGAGGTCCCGTCGAACGGCGGCACTTTGAATCCACGTAGCGAAGGTGTTGTAGCTACTACGGGAGCTGTTGTTCCATCCCCAAGTTTGAGGTCGTCCAGCGTTTTCTTCACGTCAGCCATTACGTTGTCAACCCGATTGTTTACTTGGTCGATTCGGGTTTCGGCCTCCGACAGGCGGTTGTCATGTTGAGCAACCTTATCCTTCACCTCCCGTATCTCTTTTCCGAAGATAGCGTGAAGGTCCTTCATGAGGAGCATCTGCTCTTCCTTATCGCGTTGGAGTTGCTCTTCTAAACGACGGGCCTGTTCCTCCTGTCGGCGGGCCTGTTCCTCCTGTCCGCCCCGCAGCTGCTCTTCCAATCGGCGGGCCTGCTCCTGCAGCATCACCATCAGAGCACCTAAGTCAGGTGCTGCAGATGTAGGAGCTACCGACGGGCCTTCAGCCGGTGGCTGGCCCTCCGACGTCTGCGGCGTTGCACCACCAAATCTTCTTTGGTCCGTCTCCTGCTGGCGTTGACTTCGGGTACGGACACCCTCCGTTTCCTCCTTAGGTAAAATCGGCATGATTTTATCCCACTTCTGACACCAATTGTTACGAGCT